AAAATATTTTTTTAGATAATTTAGGAAATTCACAATTTTTTTGCTATTTTTTTTATTAAGTTTAATTAAGGATATTAAATTATAGTATATTAAAAGAAATAAAAAAAACAGGAATTTTGGCACAGGGTTGAAATATAGTATTTAAAAACAAAGGTTGCAATATGGATCCCAAAAATTACCGATCAATCTGCCTTCAAAGTCAATTTGCCAAAATTATAGATTATTTGTTTTACAATCAAGTAAGCAGTTTTTTTGAATCAAATAAACTCTTAGTAAATAACCAACATGGTTTCAGAAAAAACAAGTCAACAGCCTGCTGTTTCAGATGCAGTGTTATTTATATTCGAAGCCTTAAACAATAATTTTGACTTAAGTAGAGCCTTCGATACAGTAGAGCATAAACTCCTGCTGCACAAGCTCCATTGTACCGGTATCCGAGGTGTATCTCATGACTGGGTCTCTTCGTATCTTAAGGAAAGAAAACAGGTAGTTGTGATAGGTGACACAGGGATCCATATTGGGACCTTTGTTTTTCATAGTAGGTATTTATGAACGATATTTCTTGCTTATCCTCCATAAATAACAAAATTGTCCTCTATGCAGATGACACTAACATAATTCTTAAAGAAAACAGCATTGATAGCTTAGCAAAATCTGCAACAGACTCTTCTGAGCAATTTTATGTTTGGTGTAGACAGAGCTGTCAGAAAAAAGTATCTTAGTTACTTTAGAGTAACTTAGTTACTTTAAAGTATCTAAGTTACTGTATCTTAGTTCCTTTATTTTTTTAACAAAAAGTATCTAGTATCTTAGATACTTTTTAAAAGGAACTGTATCTTGTAACTTAAAAAAAATATCTTAGATACCGAAAAGTATCTTAGATACCAAAAAGTAACTTAGATACCAAAAAGTAACTTAGATACCAAAAAGTATCTAAGATACCACAAGAAAAGTTCCTTTAGTCAAGTTGTTCGAAACGGCCGCGGCCATCGAAGTTATTATAATAAGTATACTGGCGACTTCAGCGACTGGCGGCGATTTTTGTTATACCTACTTAATTTTTATTCACCTATACTTCTTTTATAATCTGTGACTTTGCCACCCGCTCTGTAGAAGGGTGTTTCCGTTCGTTGCGACTTGAATTTATAGTGGTCCACTATAAATTACCACTATTAGTGGTAAGTCTGAAATAAGTTAGGTTAGGTAAGTACTTGTACTTGCTTCTTTATGATGTACTGATGTAGGATATTGGTTGTTAAATTGTACCGTACATTCTATAATGTTCAATGTATGTTTTCCATTTTAAATTTTAAATAATGTTAAAAAGATTAAATGAAAAGTGTGAGATAATTTATTTATTTTTAAAATTAAGTGGTGTTTAAATAACGATTTTATCTCTTTTTATTTTTAAGATATTTTAAAAGTGCCTAAGTTAGACACTTTTTGCCTTAGACCCTTCAATGGTTTTAATCAACTAAATTTTATTGAAAAAAATTGTTAAAAAAGTAAGCTTAAAATTATTTGAAAAATCAGGGTGGGGTTGGAACGAATTTTTGTTGGGCGGTTTATACGAAACTTATTACATAATATACAAAGTAACTAAAAAAGTATCTTATTAAGTATCTTCAAAAGTAACTTAAGATAAGTATTTAAGTTCCTTTTTTTAAAGAGTAACTAGATACCCAAAGTAACTTCGGATACTTTTTCAAAAAGTAACTTATCTTGTATCTAGATACTTTTTAAAAGTATCTTTGACAGCTCTGGGTGTAGAAATAATGGACTATTAATAAATACTAACAAAACTTTTCAAATGAGATTTATGCAAAAAAATCTAACTAATAACTTTGATCTTCTTATAAAAATTAGTCATAAACTTATAGAAGTAAATAATAATATTAAGTTCCTAGGAATATCATTGGATCCAAAATTAACTTGGGAGAACCATATACAGGCTCTCGATAAAAAACTTAGTTCTGTTTGCTTTCTTATAAGATCTCTAAAGGCCATTGTATCGTATGAAGTCTTAAGGCTAATGTACTTTGGACTTGTCCAAAGCCACTTACACTATGGACTTATCTTTTGGGGTTTGTCAGCACATTTTAATAAAATTCATATTCATGCAAATTGTTGTTTAAAAAATATAAAATACTTACGCTTCCATGTCTTTATATTTTAAATTTAATTTTATATGTGCATGATAATATCAATAACTTTTCTAAGAATAACAAAATTCATAATTACAATACTAGAGAGAGAAATAATATTAGACTTCCATTTTCACGATTACATATTTCCCAAACATACCACACTTATCAGGGTATAAAATGTTATAACAAAATGTACAATGTTATCGTCGAATGTAAGAGTAGAATTGTTCTAAAGAAAAGATTAACAGAAATATTTCATGATAATAGTATATTAAAGTACAAGTTGCAGAAGGCCACATATTCTCGCACGAATTCGAAATTTGGCCTCGAGCGACGAAGGAGCGAGTGGACGAACGAATGAGTGCGAGAATAGCCTTCTGCAACGTGTGATTTATACTATTTTCTCGATTTTAACTTTTATTTAGGTTTTTTTAATTGTTTTGTGGTCGTTGTTAGTTGGGGGATTTTTCTCGCAAAATGTCAGTTGGCAACACAAAATGACAATATTTGTTATCCTGCATAAGTACAACCTGAACTGCACTTTTTCACATTAAACTTAAAATTTTGCATTAAAATGCATTGTTGGAGCAAACTTAATATTACAAAACAATAATAAAGGCTTCAAGTAATGAATTTGAGGTTATTAAACAGTTTGACATTTTGGGGGTACCAATACTTAAAAACTAAATGTTACCAAAAATCGTTTAAGAATGAGCTTCATTCTTCAACGATTTTGCGTGCGAGAATATGACATTCTTACATAAAAATCGAGAAAATGTATTACAATATTGAACATTTTTTAATGATTCTTTTTAAAATGTGCTTTATATTTTAGATTTGCGTTCTTTTATTTATTCTTTTATACTATTAATTATTAATTTATTCGTAGATATATTTTTAAATTTTACCATATTTTAGGTAAATTCTTATTCACATTGTGTTTTTTTTTACTATAGTCACATAAACCATGTATTTTATGCTTAAATGTACCTGGTTTGATTGATGAATAAATATTATTATTATTATTATTATTATTAATAAAATTAATATACATAATACTATATACTATACAGGGTGTTATGTAATTAATGTTATATATTAAAATACTGAATACCTTTTGACATAAGGAGTAAAGGAAAAATATTTAAAAAAATATTTTTCCAAAGATAAAGAAAAAATAGGCATTAGAAGTTTTTATATTTTTTGTAATACGCCACTGGTTACACACTTGGTTTATCTCTGCACACTTGTGTTTTGTGAGTACATAGATACCAACCAACAAAGTAGCTGCGCGTTGACAGATGTTAAAAATTGTTACTAAAAATTTTTCTTGCAAAAAATAAATAAAAACTCAATAAATACAAGTTTTATGCCCTTAAAGCTCTAATACCCTTCTGTATTTATTTACTCATCCAGCTATTGGCTTAAGCAATGATTAGAAAATTAATTTAGTACATAGGTATTTTAAAAATCCATAACCACAAAATTAATTTTTTCCTCGGTTTTTTTCTTTCTGTTTGTTGAAATTGGGACCAGTTAACAGGTTAAACATTAAACATTTAATTTGTGTAAATAAATCCAAAAGCACTTCCCTTAGTTAAAATATTTACAATTTGAGCACATAACCTAAAATTTGAAAGAAATGCACTAGATTCTGTCATAAAAGTTGGCAGATTTAGTTTGAATTTACCTTCAGTACAAAAATGACATAACCAACAATTAATAAAAACGCCAAATTGACAATTTGCATTGTTAATTTTATCATTTTTGTAATTAGGCTAAATTTAAACAACTTTTTTGACAGAATTTGGAAACGCTGTTGTTACCAACCAGGGTTACCAACCATAACATAATAAATTAAATTAGGCAACCAGATTACCCTAAAGTTCCTAGTCGATCAGTTCCGTACTTTTTGGTAGGATAAGGGTTATTATAAATTATTTTTAGTCTTTGGAATTTAGAAAAAAAAAGTTTCAGGTGCTTCTTTATGGACCCTAAGGAACAACCCATTTTAATATATAACATTAATTACATAACACCCTGTATACTATAATAATACTATACTGCCCTACTATGGAGAAAGGCAGTAACTGCTAAACAAGAAATTTATGGAAAATTAGCATAAACTACATTTTTATAAAAAGCGGTAGGTATTAAATTAATTTTTTTAACTTATGAGATATTTGACTGCATTTCTGTGTTGAATTCGGTTACAAAATGTCCATAGCTTTACCATAGCATAAGAAAACGCATTTTGCATTTTTTTGCAGTTACTGCCTTTCTCCATAGTAGGGCAGTATATACTATATATTAATATACAGTGTGTCCCTGGATCGGATTGCCAATAGGAAAAACTGTTTTAAACCTAATACAGCTAAACTGAGCATGGATTTGGAGTTTTGGACCAAAAATTATGTTTACGTGCGTTTAGCTGTGATATTTTAAGAGTTGAGTGTAATAAGCGGGTATACGCTTTTGTAATCTTATGTCATTTATACTGGTAAAAGCATATACCTGCTAACCATAAATATATTTTCAATGCAAATACGTTTTACGGCTCTGCATGCAAAATCTTTTTTAACTTTTGCCCTTATGCCCCTTACTCACAGTCTTCCTCCTACTAAAACTGTTGATTTTTATAAGCTGTCATATTAACGGGGATAGCAGCGACTTGAAGGTTATAATCAGGGCAAAAAGACCTTTAAAATGAGGTATCTCTGGACTCGATTAATAATAGACGTGTGTAAGCGTTTTTTTGTTTTTTGTATAACTATAAAATTCATATAACTCATCTAACGGATAAGGCGGATACGATAGTTTAATATATCAGTTTTTACAATCATTTTTTTTTACCTTAACATCCAATACATCACCTAATTGTTCTGATAAATCATTTATAATCATCCGCCTTCGAACATGACGCCATTCATTATCCATAACTTTTCTATGAAACGACATATTTTTTACCATTATATCAAGTTTTTTCTTTCCACTTGCCTAAGACATAGGTATCTTTTGTACACAACATTTTAAGCCCTGCTCCAAAAATCTTACCACAATATAGCTATTAATGTTTTCAACCTCTTCTTTTGTAATTATAATGGCATCATCAAAATCATCCACAGACCCCGTTAGAGCCAACTCTACATAACCAGATCTGACCACCAATTGAATCACAGAATTAAATGTTGTATGGATTTTTTCTTTTCGCGCTTCATTAAAGTCGCTATGCAAATGATTGAGCAATTCTTTTTTGTATGCCAATCTTTTATTGTAAAGCTGAACGATCGTTTCAATATAATTTAGTTCGAGCACGGCCGCCCTTAACTAAAATAAAATAGGCATATTAATACCACTTATTTGCTAAAAATTTGTTTAAATTGAATAATGCCTTAAAAGTAAATGCAAATTGAAAATGAAGAAATTTAAATTAAAAACAGCAAAAATGCGTTATATTATAATATTACTTTAATGCATTTTTGCTGTTTTTAATTTAAATTTCTATATTTACAATTTGCATTTACTTTTAAGGCATAGTTTAACATTATTCAATTTAAACAAATTTTAAATTACATCTTTAAAAGCAATTTGTGCTTATATTTTTTGATAGTTATATGAATAATTTTCAAACAAGGAAATTATTTATTAGACATATTTTAAAAAATAATAAATTCAATGTATAGTAAACGGTTGTTATTGACATAATATGTATATAATATACAGGGTGTTATGTAATTAATGTTATATATTAAAATGGGTTGTTCCTTAGGGTCCATAAAGAAGCACCTGAAACTTTTTTTTTCTAAATTCCAAAGACTAAAAATAATTTATAAAAACCTTTATCCTACCAGGAGAGTACGCCACTGATCGACTAGGAACTTTGGACTAATCTGGTTGCCTAATTTAATTTATTATGTTATGGTTGGTAACAACCAAATTCTGTCAAAAAAGTTGACAATAGTTTAAATTTAGCTTAATTACAAAAATGACAAAATTAACAATGCAAATTGTCAAAGTGTGTTTTGATTGGTGTGATTTACCCAGGTAACCAGAGCGTTTTGTCGATATTTGAACGGACTAGAGTGTTTTGCGGCTTAACTGTGAAACATAGGAAATGTCAAACTGAAACTTAGCCTTAAATTGTCATAAACATAAAGGTAAACTATAAAAGTCTTTGAAATATTTAACTACCGAGTGAATTTTACGAAGGGAGAAAACGATTAACCTAGGCAATTCACTCCACATTTCTGAACGACTTTGGGTGAAAAGTGTGCATCCGGGCGTATTTTGTGAACGCTCCCTAGTGCATTTCTTTTAAATTTTAGGTTATGTGCTCAAATTGTATAATGGAGGGTGATGTGAAACAGCTGTCAAAGCTTGCTCCACAGACTTTTATGTGTTGCAAAGATAAACCAAAGTTTTCAGGATGTTTCTGTGTTTTGTGTGACAGTTTATACCATATTAGTTGTTCGGATCGTAAAAAATTTGTTAGTTTCGGTAAAAATCTTGGTTATTGTAAATGTATTGAAGATCTAAACTCAAAACCTAGCAAAACTGAAACTGAATTACTAAAATTTACGTTTATCAACAAAATAAATGAGCCTAAAACTGCCAGTGCTAAACAAATAAAACAAGCTAAACAAATAGAATGCCAGCTAACTGAAGAAATAAATAAAATCAATGTACTGAACAAGAAACTTCTGGATGAAAAGAAAGTATACTTACAACAGATTGATGCTTACAAAAATAAACTGCATAGTCAAGATCCAGCTGGTAATGACAACTTTTGTGAACAATGTGAGAAATCTGAACAATCTATCAAAAACTTAACAGAGAATGTTAACGCTTACAAGACACATATCATTGACTTAGAAAAACAACTTGTTGGAAAAAATCTAGTAGCTGCAAAAAAACCCACTTGTAAAAATTGTATACAAATAACTAAGAGTGAACCAAAATGTGATAATGAAAAATTCTGTGATAATTGTGAATTAAACATTGTAAAAACTGAAAGTCTACAATGTCAATATAACCTATTTAATGAACTCAACAAAGAAATAAAAGACAAAAATGATCTTTTAATTGAAAAAAACATTAACTTGCAATTGCAAATTGATAGTTTAAGTAAAATCAATACTTTTCCTACTTCATATGCTGATATAACTAAACGAGATATAAGTGCACCAAAAGTTATAAAACCGAAACAAAAATATGAAATTCTAGTTAAGCCCAAAACAAATCAAGAAACTTCTGAAACTCTAAAAGACACTAGAAACGAGGTTAATCTAAAAGAAATCCAAGCTGGTGTTAGCAATATTATTAAATTAAAAAATGGTGCAATAAGAATTGACTGTGATAACTCAAGTGATAAAGTGAATATACTTAAAAAACTACAAGAAAAGATGAGTAATAAATATAAGATTTCTGATGGAAAACTTTGGAATCCTCGCATAATCATTGCTAATATAGAAGAAATGTACTCTTCAGATGAACTAAAAAATACAATTATTAGTCAAAACAACTCATTATTTAATGAGAACTGGGGTAAAGACCCTACTAAAGAATTCTTAACAATATCACATATTGCATTAAATAAAAAATTAAATAACTATACAGCATTCATTGAAGTGGATGGTGATACATATTTCAATCTCATGTCGAATAAGAAGTTAAACATTGGTTGGTCTAGATGCCCTGTATATAATAATCTAAATTTACAAATTTGTAAAAAATGCTCACAGATTGGTCATTCTATAAAAAAATGTGAAAATGTTGCCAAGTGTAGTATTTGTGCTGGTGACCATCTCACTAGTGATTGTGATAACAATAACGCCAACAAATGTTCTAATTGTGTCTTTGCAAATCAAAAATACAAATCAAACTGTGCAACTGATCATCGTGCTTCAGATAATAAAAATTGCTCGTCGCTTACAAACAAGAAGAATTTTATTATCAACAGGACAAACTATAGTAAAGGTTACATCAATTAATTCTTATTTAATTTTTTGTCAATATATTTCAAAAGGAAGAAGAAAAGCTAAATGAATTTATAAATTCTGAAATTGTTTGTGATTCAATAAAATTTTTAAATACTTCTATTAAAAAGTATGGGTTTTACTGTGATGCATATAAATATCAGGAGCCTACATAAAAACTTTGAAGGTTTGAAGGTTTTGCTTGACAGCTTGACTTTTAAACCTGAATTAATAGTTTGCACTGAAACTTGGATTTTAGATTGCCCTGCTTTTTTTAATCTTGATGGATATGATATGCACTACAGTGACACTCAAATTAGTAAAGCTGATGGTGTAGTTGTATATGTGGATTTAAATGTTGATGCCGAGGCATCTTTTGATATAATTGGTAATGTTAAAGTTATGAATATATTTATATTCATAAAACTTAAAAGTGATCAGGTGGTATTTAGTTCTGTTTACAGATGTCATGATATTGATAAAAAAAAAATTATAGAGGACCTAAATAATTTTTTAATAGTAAATAAAAAAATAAAAAACCATTTTATTATTGGTAATTTCAATATTGACATATTAAACCTAGATAAAAATAATGAATTATATTTAAACAATTACTTTGAAAACCAGTATTATCCTAATTTTTGGACTATCACAAGAAGTAATGATAATGGTGGTGGCACTTGTATTGATAATATTTTTAGTAAGTGTAATAAATATTCTACCTATCCTTTCAAGCTGCTTCATAAGCTAACTGATCATGACCCACTGTTTTTAGTAATTGAGGCTGAGGCAAAAAATAAAATATCAGCAGAAAGAAATAATATACAAAAGAGATTTCTAATCTGTTTAATGAGCATTTTACCACGATAGGTGAAAAACTAGCAAAAAAAATAGAAACACAAAAGAATGAGTCTGATTCTATTAAAATAGATAATATAGAAAATTCTATTTTTATGTATCCAGTTACCCAGGAAGAGGTTGAAAAAACTATTGATGATTTAAAAAACAAAAATGGTGGAGTAGACCATATCAATGCAACTGTCCTAAAAAAACTAAAACAGCAAGTGAGTAAAGCCTTAACTAGCATAATAAATTGTTGTTTCAACACGGGTACCTGCCCTAAACACTTTAAAGTTGCTGAAGTCATACCGTTATATAAAAGCGGTAATCGTGAAGATCCAAATAATTATCGTCCTATTTCTTTAATATCAAATTTAGCTAAGGTCTTTGAGAAATTAATTCATAATAGGTTTTGCAAATTTTTTGACAGTTCCAATGTAATATCAGGGAATCAGTTTGGTTTTAAAAAAGGTTCAAGTACGAGCAATGCTCTTGTACATGTCACTGACTATATTTACAATAGTTTAGATAATAGTCGTCCTGCAATTGCTGTTTTCCTTGATATTGCTAAGGCGTTTGATACAGTCAAACACGAAAGACTTCTAGATAAACTATACCGCTATGGCATTCGGGGAACGGCATTGACATTGATCAGAAGTTACTTAAATGAAAGAAGCCAATATGTAAATATAAATGGCATTGAAAGTTGTAAGAGTGAGTTGACTATGGGGGTTCCACAAGGTACAATCCTTGGTCCTTTGTTATTTCTGGTTTATGTCAATGATGTTTTTCGACTACTTCCATCTGAAAACATTGTAGCTTTCGCTGACGATACAGCTCTATTGTGCACTGATGCTAGCTGGAAAATAGTAACTGAAAAAATAAATCACTTTTTAACTTTAATTTCAAAATGGCTTAAAGACAATCAGCTCTCTCTAAATATAGATAAAACAGTGTTTATAACTTTTGTTAATTACATAGATATGTATCCTGCCACTGTTAATATTAAAATCGACAACCATTTAATAAAAAGAGTAAAAAGTACAAAATACCTTGGAGTAGTTATTGATACACAAATAAGATGGCGGGAGCATATCGAATGGGTTACAAAGCGTCTTAGGTATCTCCTATTTGTTTTTGCAAAATTAAAGTCTATTTTAAACACAAAATCACTGTTGGTAATTTACTATGGTCTATTTAATAGCCTTGCCACTTATGGAATTGCCGCATGGGGCTCTGCTTATGAAAATGCTCTTTTGCCACTTTTAAACTTGCAGAAAAGGGCACTAAAGGTAATTCTGGGAAATGATCAGTTTTGTAACAACCACCTTAATATTTATCAAAATTACTATTTAAAAACCATACTTATCAATTTTAATAACTTGTACGTTATGTACAAAAATAGTAATAAAACAACTAGGTTTAAAAGTATTGTACTGCCAAAAGTCAAGCTTGCTGTTGGTAAAAAAAACTAGTCTCTACAATGGTATAAAAATCTTCAACATGTTACCTAATAACATCAAAGTAGTAAATATCCCAAAAAACAAATTTACTTTTAAGTTTAAACAAATGTTAAAAGACTGGATTACCAAAAACTGTACCAATAATTCATTGTTAACTTAATAGTATTAAATTTTGGAATTATAAACTGTTTTCGCAATGATAATGAAAATATTATATATTATTTTAGTTTTAGTTTAGTTTTAAGATCCTAGTTTTTAAGTTATGTACCGGACCTATGTACAGGTAATTTTATTACCTCCAATAGGCAGAAATTATTTTCTGTACACGTGTATCTGGATGTTAAATAAATAAATAAATAAATAAATATTTTTCCTTTACTCCTTATGTCAAAAGGTATTCAGTATTTTAATATATAACATTAATTACATAACACCCTGTATAATATATTATATGTTATATATAACAAGACTATTAAATGAATTTTGACAAATCATCATGATAATTTTTATTAGATATTTTTTATTACAATTTTTTATGGCGTTTTATTTAACGTTTTAAGCCAAAATTATCGTGTATCAATGTATGAAATAAAAATAAATAAAACCAAATTAAAAGTTAAAATGATTTTGATTTTGCACATTGTAATAGAACTATAGGTTGTCCCCCCCCTGTGGTTACCTTAATTTCGAGTTCAATCTTTGCTCGACGAGATTTACAAACGTTTGCATAAATATGCTCGTCCATGTTTGGCGTCATAAGAGATCCACTATCCAACTGATCAAGGGAATTAAGAAAGTCCAAACCATCTTGATTAAGTCCAACGCTTCGTTCTCCACTAGTTATACACCTGCTTAATTCGGATAGTATTGTGGCACTTGTTATTTGTTTGTAGGATGCTTTGGGTCGTTTTCTATAAAAACACTTATAATAATTTAGCTAAAAAAATGCATTTAATTCAAAACAAATTGGTTTTGAAACGTTCATAAAAACAAAAATACCATAACAGGGTACCATTATAAATGACTTCTAAAAAAATATTTTATATCAATCCGCGTCAACAATTCTTCGGTCCTTAATACCACAAGCATTTGGATTTTAGCTTCTATCCATTACTTGAAAAACTTCGAATTCCATTAAGCACCTTTTGTGCTATAAAATTGTATGTAATCCAACGTACATACAGCATTTATACGGAAATGTTTTAACTATAGGTATTTTTTGTATTTGATCAATGTTAAAAAAGTCACCAGAAATAAAAACTATTTTGTGTTACCACCACTATCAGATTTGAGAAAAGTTACTGAATTAATATCGTGTTAACTTGCATTAAGGATCTTAACTGAATACCCAGAATGTCAAACACAAAATCGGCCCACCTTTTCATATCATAAAACTGTTAATTGTGAAATGTTTATAGTATTATGCCTTTAGGTATATTTTGAAGGACGATAAACCAAATTTTTTGTTTTAAAGTCTGTTTTAACCCTTAACCCTTAAGCAGGCACGCGGGGTGTACAAAACACCCCAGCTTCCTAAATATAGCTACCGGTCTCACTTCGATTCGAATAAATGGCGCTTACTTTCAGTACCTTCCTGTCAAAGTATTCTCAGTCATATTACATTGCCGATTTTGAAGTTAATGTAATAGGTTGTCTGGTATTTTGTTTTAAACAGGCTCTGGGTGCTGTGGACACCCCGTGAGCAGGCTGGGTTTCGCCTTCCTATAGACTTTTTTTTACCAAATCATAATTACTTGTAAAAGTAAACCTTATCTTAAGTGCTTAGTGTTTTTTTTGTTTTTATTATTATTATGACTTTTAAAATTTGTTTTTTTTTAAATAAATGCTTTATTTTATTAAAATTGTCGTCTTTTGACATTTTCTTTTTTTTTTTGTCATCTTTTATCAAATTTGAACGCAACGAAATATGTTCTCATTGTCTCTCAGCTCATCTTAACTTGATAACCTTAAAAAAAAAAACAAAAAAAAAAATGTAAATAACACTCAGGGACGCTTTGCTATCAGGGGTGTCTCTGACACCCCGCGCGACCTACTACGTTGCATAAAGAGGTGCGCCTGCATAAGGGTTAAGCAGAGACGCGGGGTGTACAAAACACCCCAGCTTCCTAAATATAGCTACCGGTCTCACTTCGATTCGAATAAATGGCGCTTTCTTTCAGTACCTTTCTGTCAAAGTATTGCCAGATTTTGAAGTTAATGTAATAGGTTGTCTGGTATTTTGTTTTAAACAGGCTCTGGGTGCTGTTGACACCTCGTGAGCCTTTCCACGTATAATTTTTTTGCATTAATTTGTTAAGTTGATTTTTTCAACTTTTGTTATTTCTTCACATTAAATAAGGTTATACCCTGTAAAAAAGCAATTGGAACGCACGACAAAATATTTATTTTTATTTTAAAAGCATTGCGTTATGTGTTGCTTGTTTCCGTTTGTTCTAATATTTTATGTAAACAACAAATAAAAATTTGCCAAAATTTCTCCGCCCAATATTTTTCAAACTATCAGGTGTTCCTGCAAGACCTTAGATCCGGTAATTTATCCAAGGCATGCCTTTTTGCAAAAAGTAGAAGGAGTGCCAAAAACATGTGCATGAAGCACAGGAAAAATGTTTGTAAAGAAAGCTTCGATTCCATAGTAAATTCTAGTATCGAAAGTGAGTGACTTTGAGCAGGCTGGGTTTCGCCTCCCTATTGACTTTTTTTACCAAATCATAATTATTTGTAAAAGTAAACCTAATCTTATGTGCTTAGTGTTTTTTTTCAAATTTGAACGCAACGAAATATGTACATCTTAACTTGAAAACCTTGAAAAAAAATTACAGTCAGGGACACCCCGCGCGACCTACTACGTTGCATAAAGAGGTGCGCCTGCATATACATTATTTTTGCTTGTAAATATAGTCTAAAGGTTTTATAACAAGTAAATAGCTTATAATTATATCTATAATAGATAATCTATTTACTTGTTATAAACCCTGCAGGTTAAATGTGGTTTAAAACAGACTTTAAAACAAAAAATGTTTTCAATTCCCGAAATTTAAGTGGGTGATAGTTACCCCCAAAATTTAAATAGGAAAGGGGGGTCGAGTGATACTTAACTTTGAAGGTGTTTTTGCCCTGATTATACCCTCCAAGTTTGAACTCGCTGCTAGCATCCCCGTTGATATGACAGCTTGTTAAAATCTTGGAAATAGATCACGTTTTATTATAAGTAAAAACAATACCTACCTTCCTTAATAAAAATATCTACTAATTATAGTTTTAAAGTTTTATTATTATTAATAAAAAGTTATTTACATGATATTTATTTAATAAACTGTTCAAAATGTCCATTAACATTCATGCAATAATAAAATCGATTCTCTACCTCTTCTCCAACATTCTGCAACATATCGGTAGTTATCCTTTGACACTCTTCAGTTATTCGTTTTTGTAGAACTTGAAGAGAAGCTGGCTGTGTTTTATAAATTTTAGACTTCAAATAGCCCCATAGAAAGAAGTCCAGAGGTGAAAGATCAGGGGACCTTGCAGGCCACTCAATAGGTCCTCTTCGGCCAATCCAATGGTCTCTAAAATTTTCATTTAGAAATTGCTGAACAGGTGCTGCATAATGCGGTCCATCTTGTTGAAAAAACATTTCATTTTGTGACAAGTTATTATCTTCAGCAATAACTTCCCTTATTATAGGAACAATATTTTCTTCAAGTAAAGTCAGATACATAGCCCCAGTCAAATTGCCTTGTAAAAAGAATGGTCCAATTATGTTATTGCCTAGAATACCTGCCCAGACATTTAACTTTTCAGGATTTTGAGTATAAGACTCTCTAAATAAATGTGGATTTGAATCGCTCCAGTATCGACAATTATGTCGATTGACTAATCCATGTAAAAAAAGGAGCATTCATCTGAAAAGCAGACATTATAAAGAAAATTTAGATTGCCAACACACTGTTCACTCATTTCTTCTACAAATTGTAATCGTCAATCATAATCATCCTCATTAAGTTCGTGAAGCAATTGTATCTTGTAGGGGTAAAATTTGTGAACCTTCAAAATTCTCCTTACGCATGTTCCTGATATGCCGGAAACTTCGGACAATTGCCTAGTACTTAAGGTGTTATTCATTGCAATGTGCCCTATGACTGCGATTTGCATACCTTCATTCCTAACGACACGAATCGGATTATCTTTTTTGTTCTCCACTGTTCCAGTTTGCAAAAACTTTACCATCAGTTTCCTAATATAAGTATGAGACATTTTTGTCCTGATGTCTTACATTAAATAGTCGTGCTGTTTGTCTTGCACAGTCATTGTTTGTGAAATAAGTATAAACTAATTCAACTCGTTCGGCTATAGTGTATACCATAATTAAATTTAGTTATAAGCTCTCGAACTAACGATAATAATCTTAATGATGATTGTGCGACAATATTTTGTAAAAAACACACTTTTTTCTTCAAACGTAAAAAAACTGATGCTTTGCTAATATTTACTTCATTCCTTCGGCATACCTATAGAAGTATCGCTTTTACTCTTACTAAAATAATAGCCAATTTTCAAGATTTTAACAAGCTGTCATATCAATGGGGATGATAGCAGCGAGTTTAAACTTGGAGGTTATAATCAGGGCAAAAATACCTTCAAAAAGAAGTATCACTCGACCCCCTTTTCCTATTCAAATTTTGGGGGTAACTTTCACCCGTGCTCAGGGGTTGAAGTTAAGGGGTTGAAAATATAAAAACAAATTGTCCCCCTCAAATCAGAAATCAACGGGTGCGAGCGTTTTTTATTTTTTTTTCGTAACACCTAAGAAAACCGGGTGGGAACTTTTCATTGGCCCACCCTGTATAATAAACTAGCCCAACAGCTATTACCTATTTTTAGTTTACATTAAACCTCCGATGTTTGTAAGTGCGAAAAAAATTTAAATAGGAATTTTGGTCCAAAAGAGTGGTGATCTATTAATAAATTTAGATTTTCTTTGTAATGACATAAAAAAGTAACAAATACTGTAATTTAAAAAAATGATATCGAGAATATAAATTAGCTAACTGAGGGCCGATTTATCAATGTCCAGTTAAAGTTGCAGTTACTTATCTGGCAGATAATTTCCATGGATACCATTGTTCTCACAACAATCGATATGAAATGTAACTGTCAGATAGACTAACTGGAACTTAACCAGAGATTGATAAACTGGCTCTGAATGATATCAAATATGCCTTACTTATATAATTTTAATGCCATGTCCTGAATAAGGGGTACATATTCGGAAATTTCTCGTTTAAAATTTTTTTCCAATAATTTGTCCTTTCCCATAATGGTCTCATTTTTCGTTTTGCTATCCCTTACAACGTCATCTAAACTTCTAACTAGTTTAATTAATTCTTCAATTTTACCTTCTGTATGTGCGATTTTCTCTCTGCAAATTGAAGAACAGGCTGAATAGGAAATCTTTAATTAAATAAAGACATACAATGTAATTATTCTCTTTTTGTCCAGGTCCATTATTTTAACATGCCATAATCGGCGTGAACTAATTATCATTTGTTCCTGCACCATAGCCGATTCCACATTCATTTTAAGCATATTAAGTTGGGAAACTTTTTTGTTGAACCTTTTAATTGTGTCTTTTATGTTTAAACAATTTTTTGTGAATTCAATATCCAACATTGTTTTGTATCTTTCTCTTTCGCTGTTTAGGAATATTACCTTATCCTCGTAATCCTTTACAGCACGCAAATCTTCCTCATTGAAAGTCATTGGATCTTTTTCAAGCTAAATTATTATAAACTGTTAAATTGTTAAAGCAAAGTATTAATTTATTTCATAAATACCAGGAAGCTTTTTTTAGAAAATCGCAGATGGGATGGGATACACGGCGATAAAATTTTTAAGTTTAGTTTAATCAGTATTTACACGGAACATTTATATTTTTTATTAAATTAAATTACATTTTTGTATACATTGTATACAAAAATGTAATTTGTAACTCCCGCGCTTGAAAAATGCAGTACCAATATTGCCTTTTAATTATGTTTAAAACATTGTTACGCCATTTTAAACATAATTAAAAGACAATATTGGTACTGCATTTTTCAAGCGCGGGAGATACAAAATATACTCTTTTCTTGTCTTTATTTCAAATTTTAACGCAGTGTCTACAGTACCGGTGCGGGAATTAAGTTGGATGCCAATTGACGTCATAATCTTACGATTTCATGATATGGTTGCGATTAAACTAAACCAAACCAACCAACCCAACCCAACGCCCAACCCAATAGTTTTCAACCCGGAACCTCATTCGCGTTTTTACCCCTTCGATTATTAACATTTGTTTGTGAAATAATGAATTATCTTTTATTTTTTAATGAAAAATGTTTACTTATTTGATATCAATATTTTAATGTGTTATCGAGTTATTTCCTTTTAAATATTGCGATGCTTGTAAAAATTGTTTAAATAAAATATTAGTTTAAAAAAACACTTTAATTTAAAAACAAACATATTCTTCACTGCCCTGTTAATCGACCTATTTTGACCTCCTATTTCTACAGTTGCTGTATTGTCCATTAGTTATGGGATTATATATATGCTCTGCTGCGAGTTCCACGCCTATTATATTATATATACAGTATGTCCACGGATAGAGGGCCCAACAGGACAAATGGACTCAAATTTTAATTTTTCGGCCAAAAGCACAGGCACACAAAAAAAGTGCTCGGTCCGGCGGATCTGAGTAGTATGATTTTATGCATTGACCCTCGCTGAATCTGAATCTGCTGTCGGATTTAGCCGATTGGCTCGTTTTTTTTCTAACCTCAAATTTCTTCGAAGGTAACCAGTTTTATTTTATTTGCAAGATTATTTCAGATCATTAAATTTTTTTTCAGGTAATTTTTTTTTATTCGCAAGTAAAAAGTATTAATATAATTATAACCCTTGTTAATCTCCTTACCTAAATTGGTATAAATTACCTCACAACAATCAAAATCTACAGTTTCTCTTGCTCTTTCTTCGATAGGTAAGTGTACCAAAGGTTCAACAGAAAAAAGTTCCAGATCCAACGTAGAATCCTTAACATCAGTACACGATTGCGATAGAGATAAAAACAATTTCTGTTATATATGCAGTGTATACGAGGTAGAAATCAACCGAAGAAAAATAAATGAAAACGTTAAGAAACTAAAAAAAATTATTTTGGTTTTGAAAATACGGATCAAGGAAAGGATTGGGTACCCAAAATAATTATTTTGGGTACCCAATATTAATATGCAGCCCTTGTTATAAAATGTTGCAAAATTATGCAAAGACGAAGAGAACTGCGCAAAACAATGTTAGGAGAAAATTGTATGAAATGACTGATCTGATGAAAATAAACAGAAAAAAGGTGAACTTTTGTCTACTACTGTCCCAAGTTTAACAAAACTAATATTTATTACAAAATCTACCGGCGAAAGTTTTAATGCTGCTGCGGGAGTAGTCAATATGCCCGAAAATGAAATGGAAATGAATTAAAATAAAGAGTCGGCAATAATCGTGAAAACAGCAATGACTCATAAAGTAGTGATGAGTTTGAGAACACCAATAAGACCGAGAGTACCAGTGAATCCAGTAACTATGTTCCATATTCTTAGGAAACAAATTTTTCAGAATGATATACCTTCTTCTTACAGTATAGTGTGTAGCGAACCAATTGCCAAAATTTAATAAATTACGTAAAACTTTCTTTTTTATATTTACATAGTTAATATGGAGTTTCATCAAGTAAAGATCGAAACAACTAATAATTAATAAAGTTAATTCTGACTTAAAATTTTTTTAAACGCATCACTCCAAGTTTAAAAAAATCGGGTTTCTAAAAAAAATAATTTCAATTTAAAGAATTTAAAAAATGACCCAATATTGCGTAGATATTTTTTAAATATATTAAATATAGATGCCATTACATCAGGGCTTTAACATTTTTCTTGGTTCTTCAAAAACACAAAAATATAATTAATTTTTAATATGTAAAACATAAAATTAAAAAAAAAACAAATCACGAACGTTTACTGGGTATATATTTCCCTGTTTGGGACATAAACAACTCCCACGCATGCAACAAGAGGAATAGAGATCTGATGATTTTGGGTACCTAGGGGTGACGCCTTAAAATCAAATAAATAATTTTTTACTTTTACAGATTTAATAAAAATTTTACATTTTTAAGACTTTTCAACACCATTAGTTGGATTTTTTTAAATATATGCTGAATAGGGCTTTTCGTGTTATATTTAAGCATAGACAATAAAAATTATGTGTCGCATATTCTGAGCGTTTAAAATCAAGCAAGAACTTTTATCATAAAGACAATTTTTTGAGAAATGTAAATTAATTTTGTTTTTTATTTTTACTTTATCCGTGGACATACTATATGTGTAACCTAGGAGTGACGCTATAAATTCATATAAATAGCTTTTTACTTCTACAGATTTATTTTAAAAATTTAAGACGTTTTAGCACCCTTAGTTGAAGTTTTTTGAATATATGGTGATTAGGGCTTTTCCTTTTATATTTAAGTATTTTTCGTACTCTCCGAGTTTTTTATACTCGTTATAACTCTGAAGAAATAGTTACGCAAAATTCTCGCTTTTAGGTAAAATATACGTTTTCAAAAACAAGGTTTTACCATGCATTTAGGTATGGGAACATCTTTTTTAAGTTCGTCCTCCCATTTTATTTCTAAAACGCCATTCATCATAGCCATAAGTGCGCGCTCTTTAAAATCATCGGCCAGTAATAAAAGTCGAATTCTCTCGTCCTCGGCGGCTTTAGCGTCCAATATGAGCTGTTCGCTGGGCGAAATGTATGGAGTCACCCTGATTTCGTATTCGAAAACTTGAGCATACTGTTTCGGATTCTCTTCGATCGCCCATTCGGGATCTTCAATGTCGAGAAATATATTTTTGGTTGAAAAATAGTTCGTTTCTGAAATGATTTTTCGCTGACGCAAGTGCTTGTCCCTTAAATTTAACATCTCGCGCTCTTTTTGATCCATAAGAGCGTCAAACTCCTTATTGAAATATTCCTTTAGTGCTTCTATTTTTATCTACAATAAAAAATATGTTTTGTTCTTATTTAGTGAATTTTTTAAATATTTTTTTTGTTGCCCTGACACCTGACTATTTTGAAGTTAGGTTAATACAGTTAAATTATTTTTTATCAGAATTTTTTTAACCTGTACTAAATATGTAATAGATGAGATGGCAACTGGACTTGTACCTACGTCTATTTAAACAATAGTTATTTATTACGCCGTGACTAGAAGTACACCGGGAGTACGGGCATTAAACGTACATCAGGTTTGTGCGCATGCGTGTTTCCATACCAGCTGATAAAATTTCGGATTTATTAGCTGAGATTAAATTGGTACACTAAGGCCCAGTTGTATAACAGTTGGTAAACAGCTGGTTAACTCTTGATATTAAGGCCCAGTTGTATAACAGTTGGTAAACAGCTGGTTAACTCTTGATATAATCTCTCTAAAAATGAATTAGTCAAAAATGACTAGTTTAATAGTTATTAGTGGCTGCTTTTTCACTTGTACCATGGTTAACCATGGAATACCATGGTATCCCAAAATTTAACACCCAATTCTTATGTAAAATTGTCCCCTGAATCCGAAAATGTCGTTAAAAGTTAAAAAAGTAGAACAGTTTTTGAGATATAGTCAATTTTCCATTTAATATGGAATTGACTATATCTCAGAAACTGCTCCACTTTCAAAATTTTTGACAGTATTTTCGGATTCAGGGGACAATTTTACTTAAGAATTGGCTGTTAAATTTTGGGATACCATGGTTAACCATGGTACAAGTGAAAAAGCAGCCACTAATAACTATTAAATTAGTCATTTTTGACTAATTCATTTTTAGAGAGATTATTAAGCTAACTTTCAAGTTGTATAAACATTGATTCAAATTTAATTAAGTGATTGAAATACAATTAACAACAAAATTAATGAAATGTCAGTATGAATTACCCAAACCAACCCAAACTTAACAACCTAACCCAACCGACCCCGCCCCATTGGGCGGGGGCCCCATTGAGCGCGAAATTGAGCGCGAAATTGAGCGACCATTTAATATTATACAATTGACAAATATGCTAAATAAGGATTTTTTTCCACCCGGTGTACGTTTAATGGCGGTACTCCCGGTGTACTTCTAGTCACTTTGTATTTATTATTTAATTTTTATTTATATTATTCAGTTTAGTACTTACCATGCTTAAAGATTGTTGTTGGTATGACTGTATCAATGTGTACATACGGTACTGATCATTGTGCATGTTTTCAATAAACTGTGAGGATTGCGTACCATCCATGCAAATAATTGTATCTTCAGTTATGTCTTCCCTGGCCTCTAAAGCTAACGTGTCTAAGTTCATTACTGGCTTTTCACTGAGCACCATTTGTATTTCACTTTCAAATATTATTAAGTTTAAATATTTCTTAAAAAAATATTATTTTTATAGTTTACCTTTGACTTTGTGGCACCCAAGGAAAAAATGGAATATTACATCTATTTTCGAGCTTAATATATTCAGTTTTCTTGATATTCTCCTCCATCTGCTCGGTATTGGGGGCACATAAGGCATAATTAGTGACAATACACTTTTGAAAAATTGCATGCAGTTGCCTTTCGAGAACCACATTCGTATCAAAATAGTTGACCTTAATGTAGTCATAGGTTTTGTCTTGTTCACTTATCAATGTTTTGTAGTATTTTGTCAAAATTTCGCATAGTTCGTCATTTTTCTTGCATTTGTCCTTGTAAGCCTGAATATCCAAATTGAATTCGGTAAGTTCTAACTTTTGATTTTCTGGGCCTTTGTTGTTTGCAGTTATTAAACCCCTAATAACCTTTTTGATTTTCATAAGATCCAGTAAAATATTCTCTTTTAATTCCTTACATTTAGCCTTTTCTTCTTTAAATCTTTTTTGTTCTTCAACCTGTAGCCATGTTCTTCCATCTAAGAATAATTACAGTTATAATAAAAATGTGTAATAAGAAAACCAAAAATCAATTTCCATATAATATGGAAATGACAATATCTCAAAAAAATTTCCAGATTCATAATTTTTGACTTTTTTTTCGGATTCAGTGGGCAATTTTACATGGGAATAGGCTGTTAAATTGCTGTGGATAACATTTATTGGTGACTGCTTTTTTGCTTTAAAAACTAATCATTTTTGATTTATTTATTTTTAGAGAGCATCAAGCACAAATATTGTCATTTACACAGTCAAATAAGGCAAAGAGGCTTAACATGGATAGAGACAAGAGGCTTAAAACTCTCAACAGTTTTTTGCTTTGATACCTAATATTTTCTATACCTAATTAACCGTTTTGAAAATATCGCGCCTAAAAAACGATTTTATAAAATATCTTCCTCACCGATGTTTTTTTAATTGTTTAAGAAACACAACTGCATGACATGGTTAATCAAATAATTATACCATTTAACACATTTATAAAAAAATTGTTCACCCACCAAGGCCTTGCAATACCACAACCTTTTTTGACAATTCTCTGAACTCCAAAAAAACTGTTTCGTTCACAACAAGATAAAATATAATAGGTATTTAACACAAATTTAACAAACAATCAATAACGTACGATTCACTTATTTCTGAAAATTTTGCTTTTGTAGAACAAAAATTATAAAAAAATCAATAGCAAACTTTTTTATTTATAATATAAGACCACAAATATTGTAATTGTAAAGTTCTAAGTTGAAAAAAAATAAAAAATATTGTGCTTGTAAATAAAAATAAATTTGGTATTGCAATTACAATATTTTAAGGAGCTAGTAATCTAGTAAAAAGCTAATTTTTAATTTTTGATTTACGTGGACTAAATTTTTAAAAATATCTTCAGTTATTAATAATTTATTGGTTTTAATGTTCTCCCTTCGACAAAACTAGCGATTTTTTCAGATAGAAAAAAAAAACATGAACGTTTTTTTTTAAAAGGCCGAGGCTCCATACTGTAGGGATTTTTGGAAAAAACCACATCCAAATCTACTAAAAGTATCAAAATAGTTAACAAAAATCCAGCAAAAGTAAAGTTATTAATTTTGGGTGGGGGGGCTAGGGTCAGAAGATGGAAAAGGAACCTTAACCAACCCAGCCTGTTTAAGAATACGTTTAGAAAGAAAACAGCTAGTTACCTTAAAGATGTAACCAACCTAGTCGTTGATTCTATTTGGACTAAACAAATACGTGTGCTCATTTAAAGGCCTTTTTTCGAAATCCTAAATGTAGAAAAAATGTATATAATAATAATAAAGTTTATTTATGTTTATCAAGAACAGTGCTACTGCACTGGTGCCATAAACTACCTAGTAGGTAATAAATATTGCAATATCTTTGAAAGTAATAAAGATAAAATGATTCTGTAGCGGGTTAAAAAGGATTTCTGGTTTCAGAAAATGCCAAAAACTCAATATTGACCTTTATTAAGTTAGGGTCAACAATTGTATCAAAATTTGCTTGTATCTATATACACCAAAAAACTTTAACGAATAATTTAAATTATTAAAATTATTTTAATAATTAACACAAAATTTAGCCAAGATACCAAAAATACATACATATGTATATATATATATATATATATACCTATATATATATATATATATATATATATACCTATATATATATATATATATTATGATTTTATTGCATTGCTAGAAAGTGCTGATGTGCCACTACCCTTAGGGGGATATCACCCCCACAAAAATATTTGTTTTTTCAAATATAATATACAGGGTGTCCCGAAATTAGAGGGCATTCTTCATAGAAAAGTAACACTTTTTTGTTAAATAAACATGTATCAAAAAATGCCCCCTAACGGAGCTACGGCCGCGGCCCCCTGAATAGGATCCTAAGAGAATAGTTTTTTTAAAACTATTCCTAGAGCGTTAAACATGAAGAAATGAAATTTTGGCACTTTGGTAATTTTTAGATGCTGAATCAAGATCTAAGATCAAAACTGTTAAAATTTAATCATATGCGTAACATTTGGGGGGGAAAAGTTATAAGAATAGCCCCAACTTTTTTCCGAGATAATATTTTAATTTTTTTTTTGAAATTATGAAAACTTATAACTTTTTAAGAAAAATAGATAGTCTTGATTTGAATCGCTCAGATGCACCAGTTTCGAGAAAAATGCATTTATAAATTACTCTGCATAGCATACACATCTCATATTTTCGTTAAAATTTTGTGTTAAAATTTGGAAAATCGCTCCATAATAAAAAATAACAAAAATCTAGCCAAAAAATATTAACTAAACTATAAAAATAAATGTAAAGTCAGCAAATAACCCAAACGTCACTTTCGTCCCAAAGCTTTTTAATGAAAATATTAGAAATTATGCTAAGCATAGTAATTTAAATTGCAATTTTCTCGAAAATGGTGCATCTGAGCGATTCAAAGCAAGAGTACCTATTTTTCGTGAAAAACTATACATTTTCATAATTTTATAACAAAACATTAAAATACTCACTCTGCAAAAAGTTGGGGCTGTTTTTGTAAATTTGCCCCCTCAAATGTTACGCCTATGATTAAATTTTAACAGTTTTGATTATAGATCCAGATTCAGAATGTCAAAAATACCAAAGTCCCCAAAATTCATGTCTTCATGTTCAACCCTCTAGAAATAGTTTTAAAAAAATGATGCTCTAAAGCTCCTATTTAGGGGGGCGTAGCTCCGTTAGGGGGCATTTTTTGATATATGTTTATTAAACAAAAAAGTCTTATTTTTCTATAAAGAATGCACTGTTTAAGTTTGGCCCCCTAATTTCGGGACACGCTGTATATAAAATATAAATATAAACGCATTCCAAACATTTTTAAACATTAACAAAATTTAAAAAAAGATCCTAAATTGACTAAAATGATTAAACATCAGACGCGATAGGTTAATATAGTGCAAATTCAATTTTTTTTCTGCTGTGATTGTCTTGTCGAAATGCAACTTTTTCGCTCTATTACGTTCCGCCTTCGAAAAAAAGTTGTTTTTCGACCCACGCTACTACGAGCCCTAACCACATAATGTTCGGACACTTCATAATTTATACAGAAATTTTTTTCGTGAATACTATCTCAAAATTATTAGAAGTTATGAAAAATTCAGCTTATTTTGGCATATACCCCTCGAAGCGATTTTTATTTTTAAAAAGTTTACCTTTTATTTTTAGCTTTTAAAAAAAGGCTAACTTTTTAACTTTTTTTTGTATGAGTAAAAAAAGTTATAAATGGACCCATTAAAAAGAGCATAAAATATTATACAAACCCTGAAAATTTGGTAAAAAATAAATAAGTTATAAAAAAGTATAGGTAATTTAAAAATGCTATTTTTAAAGAGTTTTTGCAATTTTCTTAGGAAACGGGAGATTTTGCAGATATATATATATCGCTATAACTTTCTTATTATTTATACAATTTTTACCAAATTTTCAGGGTTTGTATAATATTTTATGTTCTTTTTAATGGGCCCATTTATAACTTTTTTTACTCATGCAAAAAAAAGTTAAAAAGTTAGCCTTTTTTTAAAAGCTAAAAATAAAAGGTAAACTTTTTAAAAATAAAAATCGCTTCGAGGGGTATATGCCAAAATAAGCTGAATTTTTCATAACTTCTAATAATTTTGAGATAGTATTCACGAAAAAAATTTCTGTATAAATTATGAAGTGTCCGAACATTATGTGGTTAGGGCTCGTATATATTAGGGTGGAGCGAAATTTTTTTTCCTTAGCCTGGGGTTGGAATTTGTAGTCTATACAAAAAGAAAATTTTTGAAATAAAAAAAAAATTTTTTACTCAACGTCTTGAGGTGGCCCACTGAGTTTTTAAATTAAATTTAAGTTAAAATTCTTTTGAATAAAAAAAAAAATTTTTGGCTTGTAATCTTCAAATTTATCTAAAAATAAACAAATTTGATCGTGTTCAACTCGAAATTCGCTCTATTGCCTCAGAAAAGCATGTTACTATTTTGGAATTTTTTTAAAAACAACAATAATGACCACAAATTTTTTTTTAAGTTCTTAACTATTAATTAGCAAGAAAGAGGACACTCCGCAGTTTCCGGAACACTTTTGAAATTTTTTTTTTATTCAAAAGTATTTTAACTTAAATTTAATTTAAAAACTTAGTGGGCCACCTCAAGACGTTGAGTAAAAATTTTTTTTTTTATTTCAAAAATTTTCTTTTTTTATAGGCTACAAATTTCACCCCCAGGGTAAGGAAAACATTTTTTTTCTTTTTTTCGCTCCACCCTAATATATATATATATATATATATAATCGCAATTTTTTTTTTAAATTTTGCAAAATTTTGAATTTTTTAAAACAATGTGTATTTTTTTTATTTCTTTTTAAATAGCATAAAATCGAAGTTTATTATGTTACCTTTGAATAAAAAAAATTTAGAGTGGGCCCGACATGTAGAAGGGAAGTTTTTTATATTTGAATGCGTGCGGGTCTAGCGTTTATACCTAGTAGATGCGAGTAAACGAATACAAAATGATAATTTAAAATGTAAAATTATGTTTGAGTAGTCAATGATATATTTAAAATATTTACACTGCCGCACGATATAGTTTTTTAACTGTATTTTTTTTGCACGAATTGTTTAAGCATGGGTCTACATAGATTTCGCAAGAAGGATCGATGATATTAAATAAAAAAATTATTGTTATAACCGTAACGGCTTGCCTATAAGCTGAATAGGTCAATGGCGTTAATAATATATTATGTCTATAAACGGTTTTTGCTGTCATGACGAGCTCTAAACATTCGCCTTACGGACATTACTTACTTTTTAAACCGTAACGATCAGTCAAAATATTTGTGTTGCCAATCGGCAGATTAAAATATGATTTGTAGATTTCGTAATTCGGAGGATTTTTGGCGGATATTACTAGAATTATGTTAATTTATATTTTTGTGGCTAAAGAAAAATACAG